CCCTAGAAGGCATCAATGTAACAAAAATGAATAAACTTGTTCTTGTATTTAGTAAGGCAACAGTAATATTCATCCTAGCTGTCATTATTAATGCTTGAACAATAAAGATGCTTGCAAATCTTACTTAGACCTTACTGAATTAAAAAAATGGTTGTATAATACAAAATAGTATTTGTAAAAGAGAAATACAAACTCTCTGAGCCTGGCATGTGTTGGTTTTTTTTTCAGAGCCCTGGAGTCTGCATAACAGGAGGCTCCATTTTTTAAAGCAGTACAGAATAATAATAATTGTTTCATCCTATTATTTATAACCAATCCTACCAAACAAAGGCATGGAATGCAGAATATTTGCATGAAACTTTGCAAGAGGTAATCACAGATGTCTTCCATTTGTTTCAGGAGAAGTTGGGAAAGTATATCCAATTATTGTGAAGAGTTGGAGAAATTACACTGCATGCTTCATTGCACAGGATAGCTGGCAACATTTATAACTTAATTAACTAACAGGAATGATTTCAATTCCTACTTGAAATTTACTTCATCTCTCTCTCTACATATGGCTACCCAGCAGGCTGGTGTAGGCATGTGATGATGCTTCCACCTCCTTTCTCTCTATTGCTTGTGTGATGGTTTGCCTCACACTGCAAGAGTGCTAGAAAGAGTCATTCCTAGCACTTATACCTACCTTCCTTTCTGTACCCTTGACTTGGCTTTTGACTAGTCACAGTCTGCCCCAGACTTTAAATCAAACCAGCTTTGCTTTAAATATTGACTGATCTCAATATGAATTAGGGCTGTACTTTGATTTAACAATGCAGTGTAAATCTCTATGAGTGTCATGGCATTTGGATGTTCTTGTTTCTGTTTCCTACAGATCTTTTATATATACATGATTTTATTTTCAAATGTTGATGTAACGATCCAGAGGAGGCACAGCCAACATTTCCTATCAAGTACCTGTGATGTGCCAGATCCTGGAACCCCTGACATATGCACAAATGGACAAAAGAGAGCAGCAAGGAGTCATCCTTCTTGATTGGGCATCTGTGAAAGAATGGGCCAGAAGCTTGAAGTGGAAGGAAGCATTAGGGTGGTGAGTGGGTCTCATTGGTGCTGCAGTGGCTTTGAAAGCCATAATATCGTCTTATGTAGTGAAGCTGATGGTGTTTTAAATTATTCGAATCACTTCAACTCTCAGTAGAGTGCCTAGAACACTGCTTGTTTGGTTTCCTGGGGGTGGAGGTGGGGGTTGCTGAAGACCCAAGGGCTTCCAGCATCCATGGTACTGTGGCAGCTTGACCATGTAGACTGTCCAGGCCAGGGCTCCATGTGCCGTGGCAGCCATGGCTTTGGAAGCACTGGTATTTTTGGCTTAAACTGGGCTGAGCTCTTGTCTGTGCGTAGGCATCCTGAAAGCCCCAAGACCTCCCAGGTTGAACCAGGACTCTGAGTTTCTGAGCTCCCTTCCAAAGAGCTGGGAGAAACACTTCCTGTCCATGTTTCTGAAACAATAAATCATATACATGTTGTAAGAAAATTTTTAAAACTTGTGCCCATGAGAGACATGAACTTAGAGGGGCAATGGGATCTAATGCACAATCCAAACAACTGCACTTCCTGTCATGCCAAACTCTAGAATTCTTGGTTCAGAGATGATACCTTCTATCAGACCAACTAAGAATGGCAGGAGGTGCGATTGTGGGTACTGGGCATTAGATCCTACTGCACCATGTTGCTACTGCAGGAAAAACCCAGAATCCCCCTAGCAATAAGTTTGGCTCCCTGGCTGGGAGCCCCTGTCAGCTGATGGGGATTCCAAGCCAGTAAGTGCACTGTGTCCTTCAGCAGCTGGGAGCCCTGATTGACTGATGTCATAGGTGACTTAGATAGTTACATTTTTAGGAGTGGATTCTAGAATCCACTGCTAATGTGAAGCACATTATTTTTGCTAAATGGAAGATGTATGTGTAGTATCTCAAGCACAGGATAGAATTATGACTCCTGTGATCTATCCCATGCTTTTTCACTGAATGCCTTATAAATTTAGTAAGACATTTTGTTTACTTTACTTCAGTTTTGCTGTCTTTAACACTGGTGTGCTGTTTAGACGGGTTGTTGCATAATGTTTTCAAAGTGCTCTGTGACTAGTGCTAGCAGAAATGAAAAATTAAACTTATGAAGTTAATGCACAAGCTCTGGTACCTTGGCTTATAATCAATTCGTATTTTGAAAGATAACTCTGCAACCACAGAGTTCAGAAACAGTTTTTAATCAAAGCTTAGGCTTTGAGGCATAATTCCACAGCAAGAATATGTGGATTTTGCAACTGCAGAATTCCAAAAATTAAACTCTGATTATGTCTGTATTGTGGTATGCAAGGTAAATACTTTCCTTTCCAAATCATTTTTCATTGAAACCTATGAATAATCAGGATGCTTACAAATATTCATATGGGTGAAATACTTTGTTAATAAGTTATGGTCTTCAAAACAACTGAATTCAAACTGGAAAAAGTTTGAAATATTTTACTAAAGAAACATATTCAGTGTTCAGAGGATGTAGGTGTTCAGTTTGTCCTTGATGATCATCTCTGACCTGGTTTTCTGATATTCTCCCTGTGATAGGGGGCCAAGTTAGAGCTGGGTCTCACATCAGCCTGCCCACCTGTCTAAGTAGGGTAGTCTGCCCAGTCTTGCCTACCATGACTTACTGTTCCAGAACTGGTGTAAAATGCGGAACACTGCCCATTTTAATGCCCTGATGCCAGGGGGTAGTATATGCAACTCCAATCTTCCCGTATTGTGTCCCATGCCTTGCAGAGGGCATCCTCAAGTTGCTCTATGATCCGGCTTGAGGCCAGGCCAAACTCAACCCCTTGCTAGGCCTCATGCATTCATCCTTTCATTCTACCCCATCGGGCCCCATTCATACTGGCTGTCTCTCACTGGGGCATCTCACACTCTGCCCTCTCTCACCGGGCTTCCTACATGCTGCCCCTCACTGGGCCATACCCAACCTGCCCTGCTTCCTTGAGTGACCACGTAGGCCCTCAGGCTTGCCTACTCACACTCCTTGGCTGGTCGGTGCATACCCACTTGGGCCCTCTTGTGACCCTCACCTGAACAGTGAGCAGCCAATTCACCCTGCCCTGGGAGGAGTTCTGACCCAAGCCCCTCTCTGGGTAACTTGTCACTTTCGCTCCCTCTTAGGTCCAGCTACTCATCCTTTTGACCCAAACTCAGACTCATCATGTCTGAGGACTTATCGGGGTCTTGGCCTCTGGCCCAACTGCAGCCTCAGGTGTCCATAGATTTTCCTTGGCCTAACTGCCCCCTCCCTGGGGCTTCAACTCATGCTCTCTCACCAGGGCATTGCACTTATACCCTCTCACTAGGGCCTTCCACATCTGCCCCACTCACTGGGGCCTCTGGGATCTTGCACTCCATGGGGCTTAGGTGTCCAGAGATGTGCCTGGCCCCCGTACCTGTCCCTGGGTCTGGGTAACCCACAAGGATGTAGGGGCTGGAATTTTAAGGTTCCCCTCCTCACCTTTCACCAGGGAGGTAACTAGCTGGCATTTCTGGGGGACTGTCCCACCACGGACAGCCCCACCAGACCACCCTTCCCTGGCAGGATGCAGTTTCTGGTCATGCCCAGGACCAAGCAGGTCTACCTGCTTTGGTCTTATCCCTACTGGGCTAGGAACTGAACCTTCTCCTCCTAGACAGTGATGTCCCCCCACGGAGGGAACCTTCAGACTCCTTAGGCCCTGGTCCCACCTCCAGGCCAGTCAGGGTGTCAGATAGCCCATCATGGCCCGGGCCTACTCCTCATGTTGGACTTCATTGCCCTTTGACCTTCCAGCCCTGGCTCTCTTGCATTGACCAGTTGGGGTGTTCTGGTCCCAGCACCGCAGCAGCTGACCTCCTTAGGCAGCAGGGGTCCCCTTCTGGGCCCACTATACAGCCCTCTGACTCTGGGCTTACTCAGAGCCCCAAAGGTCTTAATAACATATCTCTGCTCTTAATTGGGCTCACCAGGGCAACAGGCCTCACCCTTGCCTGTTCCACACCAGGGGCTTGCCTAGCCCCTGGATAGGCTCACAAACCCTAAGCCCCTTCCCAGGCTGGGCCTTTTATTTAGGCCCAAGCCTTCTCTCTGGGGCTTGGACCTCACTGGGCCCCTAGGAACCTCCTGTCATCCCCATAGTTCTTCCCTTGCCACTAGGTGTTATAAGCAGCAGCTCAGCCGGGTGTTGTTCTCTTGGATACTGGCAGCAGACTGCTGCATGAGCCCTGAGAGCCTGGGTTTTAAGATGGCCACCTCATCAGGGCTGGCCTGCACCTGCCAGCTGCCTGCTCACAGCCTTAAAGTGGCAGACA